TGAAGCTACGGAGTTCACAGAAGGCAATTTTGCAATCTTGGTGAGTGAATTCAGCATCAAGCAGCTTTGGAATAGAAGCTAGGGAGTAACAGAATCTCATACTTCTTATTCTAGTCTCTTCCTGTACAGTTTTTTTAGAACTGCCACAGTTGCTCTCTAAGCTGATGTGTACAGAGGCTTCTGGGTACCCAGTAAACATTTGGGTTATACCTTTTTTTTTTTTTAATGTAGAGTGAAAATAATGTAAAAGCAGGAAAAGGAAGGGGCTACCTAATTTGCCCCATAATCAGATCATGAGATCTTTTCAAGCCCTGGAAAAAATAAAACTATCCACAATTTAGAATGTGGAAAATAGCTGTTTCCTTACTTGTTGAAGTATCTCTGCGAAGATGCAGAAAGATCAAGCTTCCATGAAGACTTGATGTCAGCAGCTACACAAATGGGTGTGCCCTAGGATTTATTTTCCACAGGCAGCCAGAGTGATATTCTAAAGTCCTCTTCCTGCAGTGTACATGATAACCCAGACTGACCTCTCAGAACCTCCTGCCCACTCTCCCCATTCCTCACTCTACTTCAGCCCCATTGGCTTCTGTTCACCTCACCAAGCCCACTGTTGTGCCAGGGCCTACACAGAAGCCTTTCTTATGCCTGGCACACTCCTCTGTTTTCCCTTGACTGGTTGTTCTTTTTATTCTGGCCTTAGCTTTAGATGTCACCTCTTCAAAGAAGCCTTCCCTGCCTCTCCACTGAAGTGGGTCCCCCCTCACTCTGTTTATTACTATGCACCCGACGGTTTTCCTCCGTGGGACTTATTATACCTTAAATTTGTATTTTCAATTGTATCATTGAAGCCAGTTACTACAAGAGACATAATAGTAGAGCCCATGGAAGATATCAAAGTAACATGTGTTTGTAATTCTCCCATTCACTTTTAGGCATTGGGTGGTGGCTACCTCCACTGGGGCCACTTTGAAATGATGCGCCTGACAATCAACCGCTCTATGGACCCCAAGAACATGTTTGCCATATGGCGAGTACCAGCCCCTTTCAAGCCCATCACTCGCAAAGGTGTTGGGCACCGCATGGGGGGAGGCAAAGGTGCCATTGACCACTACGTGACACCTGTAAAGGCTGGCCGCCTTGTAGTAGAGATGGGTGGGCGTTGTGAATTCGAAGAAGTGCGAGGTTTCCTTGACCAGGTGGCCCACAAGTTGCCCTTTGCAGCAAAGGCTGTGAGCCGTGAGACTCTAGCGAAGATGCGGAAAGATCAAGAGGAAAGAGAACGTAACAACCAGAACCCCTGGACATTTGAGCGAATAGCCACTGCCAACATGCTGGGCATTCGGAAAGTACTGAGCCCGTATGACTTGACTCAGAAGGGGAAATACTGGGGCAAGTTCTACATGCCCGAACGTGTGTAGTGACTGTAGGAGATAACTGTACATAGGCTATTGAAAGAAAGATTCTGCATTTTTCTTCCCCTCAGCCTACCCACTTAAGTCTGTGGGTAGCTCTTAAGTCATAACTAAGGAGCAGCATATGAGTAGATGATTTCTGAAAAACATTGACGTGTTGATTTAAAATGAAAACTGTATTGTATTTTCATTAAATAAAATTTGAACATCAGGATATAAATTCTCATTGGTCATTCTTAATCCCTTAGAAGATTTTAAATAGGCCTGAATGACTGTGAAGTGCTCTTGGTTCTCCTGGGATATAAGATGAACATGAAGGCTGAAACGTTTGCATTCCACCATCTATGATGCGAGTTTGACTTTACTGCCTTTTAAATGTACACACTTCAGGAGCCAGTTTCTGTGATATTTTACTAGGTAAAAACACATTTTTAGTGTAAGAAAAAAAACAACAGTACATAGGTCAATTGATTCAACATTTATTGATGCCCAGCTACCCATCTTCTCTCAATCTTGGAATGGGAATGTTGGACAATATGCAAGGAACATACCCTTTGCCTTTTAGCAAAGGAACCAATAGCAAAAGTTAAAACTGTGTGGCCTTTTCTAGGTCTGAAATTCTCCAAAGAGGGAGGGTATTCGGCTCTATTTTTGTTCCCCCTGCAGAATCCAGTACAGTGCTACGTGCCATGCAACATGTAAATTCTTAACTGCTAGTGAATGAGGGCCCCCTAGGACTCATCCCCACAGCTCCATCTCCCTGTTTGCCCAGATTAATGTTTTCCACAGCTAGCCAGCTGCAGTCTTCTATCCCCTATTCAAACTAAAGGGAGCACAAATTAATATATATATTAAACCGTTGGCTTTTGAAGGTGGGTAGAATACAGCATTGACCAAAATATTTTTTAATCTCACTTTTTTAAAAAATAAAGTATCAAAGTAATAATTTACTTTCAGAAGTACAAACGTAGCAGTTGTGTGCTCCTCACAGTTGTATACTGTGATTTTTTAAATGAATTTTTAGTGAAATTCTTGTAACTAAATCACAAAAAGTTATCTGCACTAGAACACATTCACATAGCTCTTTTTAAAGCTGAACACAACTGAACCTTGAATGGAGCTGGGGACAGTATTTAGAACAGCTTTTTTTGGTTTTGTTTTTTATTTTGAGATGGAATTTTGCTCTTGTTGCCCAGGCTGGAGTGCAGTAGTAGCATGATCTCGGCTCACTGTAACCTCCAGCTCCTGCATTCAAGCAATTCTGCCTCAACCTCCCAAGTAGCATGAGTCACTTGCCTGGCTAATTTTGTATTTTTAGTAGAGATGGGGTTTCACTATGTTGGTCAGGCTGGTCTCAAACTCCTTAGCTCAGGTGATCCACCTTCCTCGGCCTCCCACGATGCTGGGATTACAGGCGTGAGCCACTGCACCCAGCCTATAACAGTTTCTTACACTTCTGTTACTGGCCAGCAGTTTCAGCTAGCGACACAAATCAGGTGAGAGGTGAAGTGAGTGATCACCTCATTTTACCTTTCTCACCTGACACCTTTATCTGTTCTTTGTTATGGTTCACAGAGTGTGCCACCAATGGGAGAGGTCAGTCATACTATAAACCTGTTTCTCCTGGGGCCAGCCATATTCTCCACAGATTAAGAGGCTGTTGATAGAAGTCCACCATCACCACCCATAGAAAAAGCACTTTAAAGTTGATGTTGTGGTAATGGGGGGAAGGGCTGGTAGCATTTTTGCATAAATAGATCAGCCCATTCCCAAGCAGCTTTACACAGCCTCTGATAATAACAAACCATGTTCTCACTGGTACCCTAAAGAGTTTAGGAGTCAAACCCAAGGATTTGTCCATGACTGACATAACAGCTTAATTATAAGTCAGCAGATATATGAGTACCTGTAAGCAGCAGGCACTGTGCTAAAAAGTGGGGACACAACAGTGGGCAAGATAGGCATGTGCCTATCCTTAGATAAACTTCACTTTTAATACTACTACTGGAGCCTGGAAGAGGAAACAGATGTAAGCTGGTCAAAGGTGAGACCTAGAAGAGCAGAAGTGCCCTGACTTGACCAACTCAACAGCAGTTCAAGTAAGAACCTGTTGAGTTAGGTGCACTATGATATCTGCCCCTTCACAGCCGTGCTGCACGTGCAGGCTCTAAGTTTCACGTCCTAAAGCCCCCACTCTGCTTTCTTCTCTACCCTGCAGTCCTCCTTTAAGCCATCTGCCTAATCAGCTATGTATCTACTCCCTGTCTCTGTCCTCCACCCAATCTGTATTACGTTTGTTCTTCTTTGCATAATTCTTAATAAGTAGTTGATTGATGCCCTGTTTCCTAAGAAGTTTCATAATGGAAAGAGGAGAAGCTGATGAGGAGTCTGCGTGGAGAAGTGATGGTACCACAGAAGTGGAAGGAGGATTACAAATGCCAGTCGACCAATCTGTGAGGGCTGTGGGAGATAACAGAAAAATGAAGGGAAAAAAATCATAGATTATATAGCATGGTGTTTGTGGCTGGGATCACCAAATCCCTCTTACGCAGGGTTAAGGGACTATACACAAGGCTGTGTTAACTTTCATTAACCTTGAAAGGGAAGAAACTTAATTCGAGTTTACTGTGTGGCCGGCCCCCTTCCAAAAAGTTCAAGATGCATCTAATGCAAGAACTACTTCTTGTTCCTTTTGCACTTCCAGATACCAAGGCTCAAACTATTTAGCAGGAGTCAATATCCTTGACCAGTACAAAGCATTCTGCCACACCTGGTTACAGGACAGATCGCCAACTTCTGTCTTCCCCCTCTCCTCCCACAGACTACCTGCTAACCGATCATTCTTCATTCCCTTTTCTGTCCCACCCCTTTCCTTAGTTTTCTCTAACCTTTATTAGCACCTAATCCCACCCAGATTAAGGCACCTAAAGTGCCCCTGGGACACAAAGGTTTCAAGTAAGTAAAAGAAGGCCTGACCCTCCCCACAGATGGCTCACCTTTTTCAGGCAAATATGCTCCCAATGGTGGAAGCTAAGATGATCGCAAGGATAATACAGCAGATCATGATCATGATCTTCTTCTGCTCATCCAGACAAGGAAAGAAATAACACATGAGAAACCACCGCAAAAGCGTTCTGCAGGAAGGGAGACAATTGCATGTGGGCACGGAAGAGGGTATGAAGGAAGAGAGCAACAGATGGACAAAGGAGATGGATCTGGCTTCTAGAACCCAGAATGTTCATAGAAATGTTATTTCTGGTGACAAGTTCAAAAATTAGAGTCCCAGAGGATGTTTGGTATGGTCATTCTGCCTTCTAGATAACATCATGACAGATCTCCCCCATTTCCTCCTACAGCCAGATACTCTCAAGGACTGAACCAAATTCTTTTGGGGGGAACACCTCAAATCTGAAACACAAACAGAGTGACACTGTATTCTGTGGGAGTTAAACCATGTTCAAAAATTGAACTTTTGAACGATGGCTTAAAAAGATTTGAACTGCATTCTAAAACCTGAATAAAAATCACCACATGGTGGCACCAAATCACTAAGTGTTTCTACACAGAGATAAAGCCAGAAAACTGTTTCACAATCAATATAAAGTCATTTTTATTTTTAAATTAGCAATAAAATAATCAAATTTACATTTAAAAAGTATAAACAACAACAACAAAAAAAACCCTTCACATGTTGTATTCCAAACTGTAAGCCCCAGGCCTCCATGTCAGAGGGGAGCAAAGGCCTTTGGTGATCTTGTCTCTTGTTGCTAGAACCCATGCACTGTCTGACATCATAGCCGTGGGCAAGAGAATATCCCCTTGGCTCTGTCTGAGTGCTGGATTGTGACCGGCAGTAAGTAGCCTTCGCAAAGGAAGCTAATGGATAATGCCTCAATTAAGGGTGCTCACCCCATCCTAGAAAGCATTAAAGTCAAAGCTGAAAATATACATGGTACCCCAAATCAAGAAGACTACCAGAGACCAGCGGGGGATCTAAGGGATTTTACCACTGGGTTAGCACAGACTTGTGCTACACTTGAAGATTTCCTGGTGGCTGCTGCTGCGTACATAATAAGAACTGGATGAGACAAAGAACCTGCCAAGCTCATTAACCCAGTAGCAAGAAGAGGTCCTGTGTAGCCTCCGGTGTTCCCCAACTGACTCAGCCCTGCAGATGGGACATCCTGTAGGCCACATAAATATCAAATTACTGAGGGACATTCTCAGGACAAGCCTAGCACAGGCAGCATGTGGGGAAGGTTGTCAAAAAATTACACTTTCTGTCTGCTAAGCAGAAAAACTTAATTGGGATCAGTTTAGCGCACTCCAGAGTTCTCATTTTATTCTCCCAGTACTCATCCAGAAAACAAGTTTCTTGATGATATGGGAAGATCACATTTCCATAGTGATTCATTTGCAGGTAAGCAAATGTCCTTCACCCAATTTTTATCCTAGCTCAAAGCTGGCTTTTTTTTTTTTTTTTTGAGGTCATAGTATCTTCCATTTTTATTTCCTACTTCCTGAGAGACACACACATGTGTACAAACATCTCATACACAATTAGAATACATCTGGAACACATGAGTGAATACACCAGTGTCATGAAATATTTCCAGAGCTTAAGATTCTAGCACCTTGTCCCTTACCCAGTTTAAAATCCCTGATTATTTTTGGCCCCAAGGCAATAGCTTCACAAAGCATCACAGCGATTTCTAAGACTCAGACATGGAAACAAATATTCCATACCCTCAGCCTTTTGCAAAGCATAACCTCAGATGACTGTGTCATCCTGATCCCTCAAGTGAATATGAGAGACTACAACATACAGAAAAATCAAAGTTGCCCTCCAAGCTGAACAACTAAGGGCTTAATTTAAGGCTGAATTTCAAACAAGTCAACTCTTCAGACCAAAATGACATCTGCCAGTCCCTCATGTTTTCAGGACATAGGGACAAAAAACAGGATTGGCATCCTGCCAGGTAGAAAACTCAGATGCAAGCCTTATTGTTGCCAAACTTAGAAGAATCCTTCTGCTTTGTTGAAGATACTCCCCTAAAAAAAATACATTGCAGTTTCTGGGAGAATACTCCATGAGGTAGAAAAATACAGCACCTTGGGAGAATCTCCCAGGGGCTTTCCCAGGTGCAAGGCAAAATCTGACACAGGACAGGGAGGAAGGAAGCAGGGTGGGTTCACACAGTCCAGGAGAAAAGGTACTTGAGAGCCGGTGGGGCAGGAGGAGGCTCTGAGGAGAACTCAGGGTCGCATCAGGTAGATCGCATTCCCCCAGGGCTAGATTGTTAGCTGAGTGTCAGGTCCAAGGGTGGTCACAAGGAAACAAAGGAACGGGTAGCACTCGCTCTCAGGAAGGCCATTCAGATTCCATTCTCATCTGAAGACAAGGGTGGCCACACCAGGCTGGAGTGAAATCAGTTTCTAGGAGGCAGGGAAAGGAGGAACTGATCAGTACACAGGAAGAAGGCAAAGGGCAACAGAAGTCATCCACAAACCAAGAAGGTGGGGAGGAAAGCCCAGAGCTCACTATGAAATAGACAAACCCAAGACAGAACCTGGAGTTAAATATCCCACTGTACAAAGAACACAAAGCCCTACTGTGAGAGGGTAAAAAAAATAGAAAAGCCTCTAGGCCTTTTATAAGCCTTCTCACAGGCTGTCCACACCCATGGAAGGATGTGGTGGGAAGGAACAATCCCTAGTGAAAACACCTGCTCTGCAGGGCCCACAACAGCACTCTTCTGAAGACAGGCTGCGGGAGCTGCTTTCTAGTTCTCAATCTTCATGAACTCCCTGCTGCCTTTCTTTTAGAAAGCAAAAGGGCACAATGCAACGCATATGGAAAAAGTTCAGGAGTCATATTATGGCTGCTCCACCTTATGAGCTATGTAGTCTTGGGCAAGTTCCTTAACTTCATTGCTCTTTCCCCATCTGTAAAATGAGGATACTATGATCCTAGACCAAGCAGCTGGTACAGTACTAGGAAATATAAACACATTGTCTTCCTTCCATCCTGTTCAGAGACCTCTCTCCCTTGGGTGACATGGAGGAAGAGGGGAGTCCAGACCAAGGCAACAATCAGTCTTGACTTTATTAGGGAACATGGAATAAACTACAATAAAAGCAGCTTAGCAGCTGCTCAGCAATTTAGCATGTTAAATATAGAGTTAGTCAACCAAAAACAACATATTAATTAGTCTGCTCCTCTTTGAGGAGTTAATCCTCAAAAAATGATTCATACACATTCTAAAGTCCTGCAATTAGGAATGGAAAGGGGCCCCATGAATTTGCATATCATATTTCATCCAAGGATATGGGATAATAACAACTACTATATCTTTCTAAAATCTCAACATCTATTCCAATCAGATTGTTCAGAGCCAAAACAAAATTTAAACTTCACACAAAAAAGTCAAGTGCTAGTCTCCAAGTGCCAGAAAAAAGGGGGGGGGAAAAATATCAACCAACGACCTGTCTATGAGAGGCTGTTAATCTCACTGTTGCTTACTTTTCAAGATGAAGTTGAACATTCAATGCTATAATAAGCTGACTTTTAAACCCTCTGGTCACATGGAAGCAGGAGGGGTAAGAAGAGACACACTAAAACAAATATAAAAGGAAGGCACAGCTCTGGGTACTGCCATGGTATTATGTGCCAAGTCTTAAAAATGTTTATGCCTATTATCTCAGTAATCCAACTCATATGAGTTTGTAATAAAGAGAAACTTTAAGTGAAAAAAATATCAAATAAGATTAGTCACACTGTCAGCTATAGGAAAATAACATAAACCCCCAACATTGTCAAAATGTTAAATATTTGTGAGTATGGCTACAATCTCATGTTGACAATTAGATTTACAAAAAGATTTTAATGCTGTGGAATGATGCTTATAATTTTGTAACTGGGCACAAAACTATGGATAATATAATCTTAACTATGTAAAACTATGCCTGAATGTGTGAACGTGCCACAAGGTTATCAGCAATAATATTAAAAGTTGACTACTTTTATTTTCTCTGTATTTTATAGGTCAGTTTTTTAACAATACATGCTATATTTTATTCAGAAAAATATTTTAAAAGTCACTGGCTGGGCACGGTGGCTCATGCCTGTAATCCCAGCACTTTGGGAGGCTAAGGCAGGCAGATCACTTGAGTCCAGGAGTTCAAGATTAGCCTGGGTGACATGGCAAAACCCTGTCTCTACAAAAAATATAAAAGTTATCTTGGCATGTTGGTGTACACCTATACTCCCAGCTACTCAGGAGGCTGAGGCGGGAGGATCACCTGAGCCTGGGAGGCAGAGGCTGCAGTGAGCCAAGATCACGCCACTGCACTCCAGCCTGGGTGACAAACATAATGAGACACCGTCTCAAAAAAAAAAAAAAATTAAGTCACAAAAGTCTTCAATTGCATATGTGGAGTAAAAAAGAAAAAAATAATAATTAAAAAGTCACAAAAGTCTTAATAGTCCCAATAGCCAGATTCTTGATATGCTCACTACTATTAAATGTGATTCAGGCTGGGCGCAGAGGCTCACACCTGTAATCCCAGCACTCCGGGAGGCTGAGATGGAAGGATCACCTGAGGTCAAGAGTTCAAGACCATCCTGGCCAATATGGCAAAACCTCACTTCTACCTACTATAAAAATGAGCCGAGTGCAGTGGCATGTGCCTGTAATCCCAGCTACTCAGGAGGCTGAGGCAGGAGAATCACTTGAACCAGGAAGACGGAAGTTGCAGTGAGCCTAAATCATGCCACTGCACTCCAGCCTGGGTGACAGAGCAAGACTGTCTCAAAAAAAGCCAGTGATTCAGTGATAGGTCTATAATTTTTAACAAGTTTTCAAAAAAAAATAATGGTCTAAATTTTAACATCACTAACCTCTAAGGTTCTCCAGGCTTTATAGGTAATGATAATGGCTACCTTCTTTTACAAAGAGAAGCTAGGTCCCCTATTAGCTGTGTGAACTTGTCCCTGTTATTTAACTTCTCTTTGACTGAGTTTCTTTGTCTGTAAAATGTGCATCATACTGTATCTGTCTCCTAGGATGTCGTAAGGATTCAATGATACATGTATAATGTGTTCAGTACACTGTCTGGTACAACGCAACACTCAAAAGTGTGTTAACTATCATCATTTAAGACCCAACCAATCAGCAACAAAAAAAACTCTGCAGACCCAAATTCCAATTCAGAGCTTCATTTACATTGAAAAGGATACAGAAAGTAAAACCCAACATCCATGAAAATCAGTAAGAATTCAGAAGACAGACCCCAGATTCAAGATAGACCCCAGATCCAATGTACTCAACTTAGAGTTGCTTCCTGAGTAAGGGGAGTTGAATGGGGTGCTCAGGTACGCTAGGAGAAGTGGTGAGAAATATGACGAGACAGAGATTGGGGACAGAATCTACAGGATAGGAACAAACAGAGACCTCACCCATGTCCTGCAGCCAGAAACCAAGAATAGAACTGTAAGGAGATAAAGAATCCACAGGCTACTGAAAAGTTTTAGAAAGCTCAGTGTGTCGAAGGACAATCATACTGGGAAAGAAGAATTTGAAATCCCAAGCTAATTTCCTCTTGAGGAGCCAAATCCAGAGTCCCCAAGAACCATTCGTTTACTTACATTTCAGTGCAGCAGCCTCTTAGGCCACTCTTATTTCAGCCCAACGGAAAGTCCAATAATCAATGCTAAAATGCCCAGCAACACAACTACTACCACAATGATAATTATCAATTTCTGGAGAGAGGAATAAGACAAAAACAAATGATTACAAACAACCAAAAAACAAAACAACTCATCCAAAACCCAACCCCTGTCACCTCTACATAGAAAATATCTTACCAATCTGAATGAGAAGCCAACATCTCTACATACAGACATCCTTCTAGGATAGTTTATTTTTTAAGACAGGGTTTTTCTCTATCACTCAGGCTAGAGTGCAGTGGCACGATCATGGCTCACCGCAGCCTCAACCTCCTGAGCTCAAGTGATCCTCCTGCCTCAGCCTCCTGAGTAGCTAGGACTACAGGCATGCACCACCATGCTCAGCTCATTGTTTTATTTTTGTAGGGACAGAGTCTTCCCATGTTGCCCAGGCTGGTCTCAAATTCCTGGGCTCAAGTAATCCTCTCACCTCGGCCTCCCAAAAGGGAGGCTAGGTATGGTGGTTTATACCTGTAATCACATCACAGGTATAAACAACCACACCCAGCCTAGGACATTTTACATTTTTTAAATTACTTACAGGCTACCAATGCCAGCAGAGGGAAATATGAGGCCACTCTCAGCTCACACTGCAGTTCTACATATGTGGACAGATACAATCAGAACCACTATCACGGGGTCTCTAAGGAGCACTTGGCCAAGATAAAAAGTGGCTGACTGATTTTTCCCTTTTTAAGAGGGAATGTAAAGACATTTTTGATAGAGTCCTCATTTCCTACTTTTGTCCATTTTGTCCCTAAAGTACACTTCTACCTGTCAGACCCAGTACACTGCCTGGATATGAGAAAATACCATCCATTCTGGATTCACCACGTCAAATAACTTCCCAGTCCCCTAATTCCCTGTATAAGCAATAGGTAAAGTTGGAAGAAAAGCAAAGAACAAAGGTATCAGAGCCCAAGAGAACTAGTCAAAGGAGAAAAGTCTAAAAAGCAGGAGCCACCAGAGCTGGATATCCACAGTCATCAGCCCAGAAGCCTTGAAGTCCTTAAGCAGGAGGGGCACCAGAGGGTGGGCAAATGTGGTGGTGTGGTAGAAAGAGAATGCCTGGGATCTAAACTTGAATCCCAGTGCCTCTACTCACTAGGTGGCCTGAAGTCAATTACTGAACCCCTGACCCGCAACTGTCTCCTTTATAAAGTAGAAATAACAGGTACTCCATCAGCTATAAGATAATGTATACATAGCAGTTAGCATGGGCCAAGTACAAGGTAGAGAAAAAGAGAAGGGAGGCAGGTTTGGGAGCCTGGAGTGAAAGACAATGAAGAGGGTTTCTGAACAGAGGAGTCAAGCGTAACATCTGAAAGTCTCATGAGCTAAGTTCAGGAGATCAGCAGCAGCACCTGGGCCATGCATCCATCCTACAGAACTGCCTTTCAAGTGTGGGTTCCTGGGGAGACAGCTTGTGAGCCAGATCCATGCAAGGCACACCTGAGAAGGAAGGGCAGCCAGCTGGTATCTAGGAAAGGCTGAGGGAGGGGTTGACGAGGCCACGACAGGGAGGGAGGCGTGGGCTCAAGGACACAGGTGGGGATGGCCAGGGAGAGGAGAAGCTGGTAAGACAGCTGAGACTAAGGTGCTCACCCTCCGGGCTTCACTCTGATACTTGACAGCCTTTTTGGTATCTGCCACGGCCCGCTCCACAAAGCCCACTGACTGGTCCATGTTGTTCTCAATACGGTCAATCATGGATCCCTTTCCCCAGATGCAAGAGGTGGCGGCAGCAGAAACAGAGATAGGGAGAGGGAAGAGAAAGAGCGAGACACAGCTAACCAAATGGACTCTCTTCTCTGAAGGCAACAGGAGAATCTCACCTTCCGGGCCTGACTCTGGTATTTCACAGCTTTTTTAGTTTCATCTCGTGCCTTCTCCACGTGGTCCACTGTGTGCATGACATTCAACTCTATGTTATCTAACATCTCACCCTGCAAAGAACAGACTCTGGTCACACCCAGTAAATGCCCCAGGACAGTCCTAGCCAATGTGGGGAAGGGATTCTCTTTCTTCCCATCTTCAGTGGTAAGAGGAGAATCCAGAAACCTTGATGCAGGGCCTTCCACAGGACACCCATTCACATTTCCGTGGGACTACCTGTGGCTCCTCAGTCCTTGGTGGTGGGTTGGGGTGGCGGTCACTTGTTCAAGAAGCATTCACTGAATTTTACTACTTCTCTGTGACCAGCACTCCACCAGGCATCCAGAACATACTGTCTAGATGCCTGGTAACTACATATAAATACACTCTGAGGCATCCCTGGACAACCTTTTTTATTTATTTTTCACACTTAAGCACATGGAGAAGAACCAAAATAAGGAAATCTCATGTTCTTAGAACATCACCAGGATGCTGGCCTCTTCCTGGTCATTCAGACCTGAAGCAACATCATTCAGCCTGAGTTGAGTACATTCACTAACTGCAGAAGAGTGCCTGGCACACAGTAGGTGCTTAAGAAGTAGCTGAGGTGGGGAACATGTGCTTTCCCTAAGTTATGTCCAGGCCCTCTAAGTGACAGGCATTGGGTTTACCCAGGCTATTTGGTTATATTTTCCCTTCCAGACAGTAGTCTCTTGATAAGATTCCCAACCATTTCCTAGCAATTACTTCCTGACAGGGAAGTTTAATCATTCCAATGAATCTTAGGCGTCTTAGGAATTCTCCTCAACTACCCAAACCCTCCTCAACCCTACTCTTTCACTTTATGGCAGTCTGTAAACAGAACAAGGCACTTACCATCACTTGAATCTCAAGCCAGTTCCTCGGCAAAGCAGTGTGGGGAAAAAGAAAAGGCGGGATGGAGGGACTTGAGAAATGGTCTCGGAGGCCAGTGGGGAATCCGGGAAACCACCCAGGCCCTCAGCAGGGAACCAACATCAAAAACCAGTCAAGCCGTGCTCAGGCTTCAACTAGGTTTTGCAGTCTGCCTACTATGGAAACAATTTTCTCTCCTATCCAGGTGTCAGAGCAGCTGGAAGTTCATGGCAACAGTGCACAGCACCATGACCCTGTGGCACACTTAACTGTCCCGTAGGAACTGGGAACCATCTGACTACATGAAACCAGCACCCTATGCAGGCAATCCAGAACTCTAACCCAAGCAAGCATGCCTGGGACAAAGTGAGCTGTCAAACTAAGCACGATGAGTGTTGTGAGTCTTTCTGTAAATGCTATTTTACTACTCCTTCATTCATGTTGTTGTCTGCTCTGTGCCTTAGTGAAAGGTGTCAAAATTTTTAGAAAAACACAAACAGGAAAAACAAAACAAAAACTTCTGTTAAACATAAGCTTTCCCTGTGAACCAGAGAAAAGATCGCATTTTCAATGTCATCAGTGAACTAGTCCATATGAGGAAACTGTTCTAAAGCATCACCATTAGGAACCCTCATCTCTGATTTTTACAAAAGAAAAGAAAGAAAAAAGACAAATCCTGGGATGACTGCTTGAGCCTGGGAGGTCAAGCTGCAGTGAGCTGTGATCATGCCACTGCACTCTAGCCTGTGCAACAGAGCAATACCTCATCTTAAAAATAAAAATAAATTTAAAAATTTTTAAATCTGGGGGAACTAGGTAATTGACAGAACACACCAACCTCTATGTCAACTATCAACGACTGCAAGGCCAAAAGGACGGGCAAGAATGAAAAGGCCAAGATCACCCAAACTGTCAACGTTCAATTTGAATGCACACTTTCCCATGGAATTCTGTTTCTCTTTTATGCAAATTCCCAATGGTTCTCCCACCATACCTCACTGGCTTCCAGTATTCCCTTCCTCCCTGTTCTCCAGAGACCCTGAGCTTTCCTCTCCTCTCTCCCCACGCTGGGACTCACTGCCACTTACCTGATTCTCCACCAGCATGGCGATGTCCATAAACATGTCGTGAAGCTCTTTGATGCTGCTCTCCAGCCTCACAATGTCCTTGTGCCGTCCCTCAATCTCACTGAGGGCTTGCTTGGAAATCTGTGAGTCAATGATCTATAACAGGCCGCACACGGAGAGACTGTCAGCTACCCCTGCAAGAAAGGCTGCCCCTGTCACAGCCCTCACACACACTCCTGGGGAGCTCCTTGCCTCCCTGAACTCCCTGCACCTGCAGCAACCCCTCTGCCTGCTGGAGTGCATGAGCTCCACAGTGGCCTCCCTGCTCATGAGAGGGATGTAATATCCAAGCACACAGGGCACTCACCCCAGAAGTGAAGATGGCTGGGTTGCCACTCTCCAGCATCTCCTCCAGCTCCTCATCTGTTGTCTTTTTGCCGGCTTTATAACAAAAGAAGTAGAGCATCAAATATAAGATCACAGTGAAACACCATTTGATAAGGTCCCTGAAAACTAGGAACGTGACTTCCCTATAAAGACCATGGCCTTTACAACACTCCCCCGATTGTCTCCTGACTCATCTTATTTCTCCCCTAATCCAAGCCACCCTTAAACATTATCAGCAGTTACCTTCCTAAAGCACATTATCTCATTACATTGCTTCCCAGCTCAGAGAATTTCTTTGCCCCATTCACTACACTATGGCGTCCAAGGCCCTCATAACATGCCAGTTCGTGGGCAAGCCCTCCCTCAATCCATCCTAACCTTAAGTTGCTCCAGACACACCCTTTTCCCAGACCCTGGACAACATGCCACTCCAGAACACACTTGCTCTTTCTTGATTACATTCATACCATTCCTCTCACCCAAAGCACCTTCCACCCCAAAGGGCACTGCCTTCCAAATTCCTAAAGGGTATGGCTTTATTTCTCTATTCCTCCCAGCAACTTACACCACACTTTTTATTTCTTAAATGTGCTTTGCTATCAAACAGACAGCAGAATGACACAATGAGTCCACAGGAGAGCAACTGTTTGGCAAGCAATTCCCTTCTGTATAGGAGAAGATGCTGGACCCCATACAATAAAACTACTTGGGCCTGATAAACACAGTGTCACCTTTCAGCCTACAGCACAGCATTCAGGATATGCCAGTGCGATAGGATCCGCCCTAGACTTAGGCACAAAGTATGCAGGCTGCTTGCTCTCCCAGGGCCTCAAAACTTGGGATGGACAACCAGGTGGCAGGAAAGGTGGAGGGCACACGCCAAACCTCAAGCACATACTAATTTCGAGCTGCCGCTGGATTCGCCCTTTGCTGCGTTCTCGGAAGTCCACCTGAGCTTCATTGTATTTGGTCATCACCTCCACAAACTTCCGAGAAAGGACAGAGTGCTGTGGGATGATGTAAAATGCAGTCAGCCCCCAGTGGTTCTGTAACTGTTATGGAACCCCTCCCCATCCCCACATAGCCGTCTACAGTAGCACTGGACTTGCAATCGACCAGGTATCAACCCAAGGTTTTTGTTTCCTAGCTTTACGCCCCTGGAAGAGTCCACTGCCCTTTCCAAAGCATGGTTTCAGCACCAGTTTACTGAAACCGGTTTACTGCTGACCTCACAAGGTAATTGTGAGGCCAGCAGTCATCTCTAAATCTCTAAGCTCTACAGCCACATGGACTAGTAGCATTTTTGTGGCACAACGCTTGCATTCTAAAACTGTCAGATCCCCTTCCCACATGTCATACTTACCAAAGATCCTTGAGTTCTTATCCTAAACTCATCTCCCCAACTTCTCTTGCTTCTAAGCAGATGTTCTCTCAATAGCCCTGGATGCCTAAGCTAAAACCTTCCTAAGAATTTGTATTCCTTGCTCACCTCTCAGCATCAAGCCCTACTTACTGGTTTTTCCTTTGGAAAATCACCAATATTTATACTTTTCCAAACCCACTTCCACCATGCAAATTTAGACCAATACCATTGCAAAAACCTAACGAGGGACCTTCCAGTCCCCTGCCTCCTTCCCACTTGTAAACAGTTTCTAAATGGCTACCATAATAATCCTCCTAACATACTGCTACCTGAAGCAAATGCCTGTAAGTTACAACATCAGATCCAAATTCTCTAGACTGCTCCTCAAAGACCTCTAGAATGTGGCACTATATTATCTACTAAAAGTTATGTGCCCACTATCCCACAGCAAACCTTTTCTTTCAGAAAGCCTATTGTCTTCATGTCTGCCCCTTATGTCTACCCCCGACCACTACCAACCACCACGACCACTACCAACCACTGCTGCCAACACACATATACATGTATACCCTACTCCTGACCCTGTACCTCTCAGAGAAGGGAAACTGCTTCCTGAGCCTGCTCACGTTGGCACTCTGGCCCAGCCTCCTCTAGCAACCCCCAATTCTTCCTGACATCTTTGGATGCTGAGAGCACCATGCATGTGTGGTTTTTTGTTTTGTTTTGTTTTGTTTTTTGAGATGACATCTCGCGCTGTCACCCAAGCTGGAGTGCAGTGGCACGATCTTGGCTCACTGCAACCTCCGTCTCCCGGGTTCAAGCAATTCTCCTGCCTCAGCCTCCCAAGTAGCTGGAACTACAGGCATGCACCACCATCCCTGGCTCATTTTTGTATATTTAGTAGAGATGGAGTTTTACCACATTGGCCAGGCTGGTCTCGAACTCCGGACTTCAGGTGATCTGCCCACCTCAGCCTTCCAAAGTGCTGGGATTACAGACATGAGCCACCGCACCTGGCCACATGTGTCTTCTTATCCCATCCTCCTGCTGGGTCTTAGGTAATAGCTTTCTATGTCACTTGAATGGCATGCCAGTTCTTTAAAACAAGGATCATATCTTTGATGACCCCTAAAGTGCCTAGCTCCAAACGTGTCAACAAATGACTAACAATCATTAGAAAGAAGATATTAATTTCCTCTCCTGTAAAACAAGGAAGCACACTAAATCCTATGCTGTACTCTAGGAAGCCTGAAGAAGCTCTTCAGGGGCCTCCTTAAAGAAGAGGGTACAAGAGAGGGGCCAGAAGGGCTGGACTCTGGCCCTGATGCCTATTTCAACCTGGAAAGCTCCCCCTCTACTAGTTCTTAAAACTGAGTTTCAAATAAGGACTGTATTAAAAAAAAAAAATCCTTCCACAGTTAAGGAAAAATAATAAGAGATTGGACTAGATAATCGTTAGACCAGGAGAAGTCTTACCTGGGATTTCCGAATCCGAAGGTCTGCTGATGACCTGACCTCATCTTCTTCAATATGCTTCTCCATGCCTAAACAGGAGAGGAAGGTTATATTCACAGTCTATCTCCTCCTCCAAGAAATGTGCTGTTCAATAAAACTTCCTCACTCCTTCCACAAACCCCAGACCATGGAGATGGAACAACAGGTAGGTGTCACCTCAAAAGGTCATCTCCCAGGTGAGCCACAGGACGTGCATTCCACAACCTTTACAACGACCAGATTTTGACATAACAATTAACAGCACGGGTTTTGGTCACCAAGGGACTTAGGCGTGAATCCTTGCCCTACACTTACTAGGTGTGATTTTGAAAAAGACACTTAACCTCTCTTAATGGACCTGTTCTCTCATCTGTAAAACACAGTAACAGTCCCTCCCTCACAATACTAATGTGAAGATTAAGTCAGAAGACACATAAAGTGCCTAGCACAGTGGCAAGTGCACTGTCACTGTTATTCCTGGAATCTGCTGCTAATGACCCCTCCAATTAAAATAGTTACTGCAATTTACTTGAGGGGAATAAATGGTAAACTGGGCTAAGCAATAATGCTTTCTCCTCTGATCAATAGCATGCACGCACCAAATACACTGGGCAAGAATGCAGGCTATCGCCACAGAACTAAGTAAATTTTCTGGGCCCTGGAAGAATTCAATCTATGACAGTAGCTTCATTGAACTATCCTCTCCCAAATGGGGAAAGTAAGGGTTTGAGAAGGTAGTATGCCTAGCCCACCAAGAAATATCTGTAGACTGAATGATATCTCTTGCATCTATATATCTCTAAAATGACTATTCAAATGTTTGTAAGTAGCTGGGCATTGTGCCTCATTCCTGGAATCCCAGCACTTTGGGAGGCCGAGGTAGGTGACTCACTTGAGGCCAGGAGTTTGAGACCAGCCTGGCCAACATGGCGAAACCTTGTCACTACTGAAAGTACAAAAATTATCCAACTGTGGTGGTGCATGCCTGTAATCCCAGCCACTTGGGAGACTGAGGCATGAGAATCACTTGAACCCAAGAGGCAGAGATTACAGTGAGCCAAAATTGTGCCACTGCCTTCCAGCCTGGGCAACAGAGCAACTCTTTTTCTTTCTTTCTTTTTTTTTTTTTTTTTTTAAGTATGTAGTTTCCAGGGAAATAAGACCAATAAGAGAATAGTTGACGGGCTGGGCACAGTGACTTATGCCTGTAATCCCAGTACTTTGGGATGCCAAGGCAGGTGGATCACTTGAGGTCAGGAGTTTCAGACCAGCCTGGCCAACATGGTAAAACCCCATCTTTACTAAAAATACAAAAATTAGTTGGGCGTGGTGGTACATGCCTGTAATCCCAGCTACTTGGGAGGCTAAGGCAGGACAATCACTTGAACCCAGAAGGTGGAGGTGGCAGTGAGCCAAGATTATGCCACTGCATTCCAGCCTGGGGCACAGAGTGAGACTCTCGCTCTCTCAAAAAAAAAAAAAAAAGAAAGGTTGAAAGGCTAAGTTTAAGAACCAGGACCAAGTCACACAACTACTCAGCAGCTAGAAGCACATTTTTATTCTCATCCTCTAGCTTCAATTCTGGACTCTTTCAAGTACAGTGAGGATTTAAGAAAAGGTAACTTTCTGGGGCTACAATGGATCATTGCAGGGACAGAGCCCAAACCACAAGCAAAGATGGGCCAAGTGGTGTCACTTCCAACAAGAGTAGTTTCAGTTCGGAAAGCTGGACACTGAGTGAGCTGGGGTCTCACTCTGTCACCCAGGCTGGAGTGCAATGGCACGATCTCAGCTCACTGAGATTGGGTTCAAGTGGTTCTCCTGCCTCAGCCTCCCAAGTAGCTGGGATTACAGGTGCGCGAGCTGAGACAGGCGGTGGTGGGGACTGCCTTGTTCCCTTTGTTCCCTTCTTACTCTTCAGTTTGTTGCGGACGTTGTTGGCCCTCTTCTTAATCTCAGTCGTGAGCTGCTCTAGGTCATCCTTGGTTTCTGGGTAAATAAAGGCAGGCAGAATCCATTAGAAAGGACAGGGCTGATTTTTTTGTCAGCTACAGCAATCATAACCAGAGGAGGGGAGCTTTCTCAGGCATCCACTGCCCAGAACGGTATTTAACCCAGTGCACTCCCCAGAATCTGTCATTAGAATCACAGACTGCTTATTTTTTAAAAGGCATTTTCCAGGCACCCGATCCCAGTACACAGAATAAAAACACCCAGAGTTGGAACCACAAAATCAGCCCTTTCAACCCTCCCAGGTAATCCTGCAACACATAATATTGTGAGAAATTTGCTTTTAGAGGGAAGAACGTACCATGGGGGCTTCAGTTGAGAAGGTTCTAGGGAGCTTATGGGGAAAAGAGATTTCAACCAAGGCTAATCAACTTAAAATGAGGCAAATACTTATGACATACCTACTACACACCCAGAGCAATCCTAGGTTGTGTGGAGCAAACTAAGTGTTAGCTAGAACCATTCATTCAAAGGCCATCCTTCAGCCCCTACTACAACTTTGGAACAGAGCTAGAAACTATGGAATCAGAAAGAAGATCTAGACATTTCCTGCAAGGTGTTTAGAGTCTAGTGGAGGACAAGGGAGAAATAAGTCAGCAGCTCTAACATGCAGCGTGGAGTAAAGTATGAGTTCTGGTCAAGGTGTGCACAGCATGGAGGGACCTGGAAAAGCTTCTAAAGACAGAGGTGAGCAGGACTGAGTCTCAAGAACTGTGAGTCAGCCAGGTAGAGAAAGAGACTAAGAGCAGGAATCTCACGAGAAGAAACCATAAATAAAGGGTATGAGTGAATAGGAAATGTCTGGGGAACAGCCAAGAGTTGGTCTGAATGAAGCGTGGAGAGCAGGAAGAGGATGGCAGGAGACAGGCTGGCTGGGAGGACAGGAATGTGACAAAGACAATTCCCACATGCTCTGCTAAAGTGTTCCCACTTCAGTCTTTAGGTAAATAGGGCCCACGGGAAAAATCAAAGAGCGGAATGACAGTGTGTCAGGTTTGTTCCCTGTTCTTAGGAACTGAAAATATAGCCCTAAACCAGCCGTGTCCAGCCCTTGGAATGCATGGACTTTTTTTTATCTGTGGTGGCAGATATCAGGAAAATTATGTACAAACCTTTCCTTTAGCTCATCAGCTACAGTTAGTGTGTTTTATGTATGGCCCAAGACAATTCTTCCAATATGGCCCAGGGAAGCCAAAAGGTTGGACACTCATGCAAACAGTTAGGGGAGGAAAGTTTGCCTTGGTGGTGGTAACAAACAAAAGTTGAGGGATGGAAGGGATTTCTGTGAACTTGAACCATTTTGGAACACCTTATAAGAAAAATGGACTTGCTCTAGCAAGGTTTGGAAAGGGAACTGGGAAAAGCATTTCAGGCTGGGGAGATAGTACAAGCAGAGTCTCAGAGGCAGGACAGGGTACGGGGTGTGTGAGCAGCAGAGAGAGTCGTGGCTAGTCAGGAGAGGGACTAGCTGGGAAATAGGAAAGTCTCGCTAAATGGTTCGAGTGGGATCATGAAGAGGAAACCCTGACTGTGGTCAGGCAGTAGGAGCTCAGGTAAGATAAAGGAGAGGGAAATGATATAATATGGACACTAGTGCCCTGTAACTTGTACACTCCCCTGCTGCTCACGAGGGCAAGAAAACAAGGCTGGCTCAGCCACAATGAAAGGGTGATTGTTGGGTGACTCAGTTCTAAGTCAACACTCACTTGGCTCTGGAATCGGTGCAGAGAGAATGATACTGTAGAGTTTCTTAGCCTCCTCCACATGTTCTGAGATCTTGTCAATGTTAAGCCGAGTTTCCTCAACCTATAATCAGAAAGACAATAACCTTCATCATCAAAGAGGAAGTATAAGTCCATGGTTGAGGTTAATGCTTGGCAGAGCTGCTGGTGAAAGCTGCCCATCTTCTGGGTTTGTGAAAGAAGACGATGACTTAAAGTCCTCAGCTGCCCAGTGAGTACCCTTTCCATGGTCAGATAAAGTCACCACAGCAGGACAGTCATTAAAAATCCATACTTGTTGCTCCCTGAGAGTAATACATTCGCCCACTTTGGATGGAAGGATTCAGGCCAAAGCCAACAAGAGCTAGAAAAACCCATGAAGATGTGGCACATATACACCATGGAATACTATGCAGCCATAAAAAACAATGAGTTCACGGCCTTTGTAGGGACATGGATGAAACTGGAAGCCATCATTCTCAGCAAACTGACACAAGAACAGAAAATCAAACACCGCATGTTCTCACTCATAGGTGGGTGTTGAACAATGAGAACACATGGACACAGGGAGGGGAGCATCACGCACTCTGGTCTGTCAGGGGTAAATAGGGGAGGTACAGCGCGGGGTGGGGAGTTGGGGAGACATAGCATGGGGAGAAATGCCAGATACAGGTGATGGGGAGGAAGGCAGCAAATCACACTGCCATGTGTGTGCCTATGCAACAATCTTGCATGATCTTCACATGTACCCCAAAACCTAAAATACAATTAAAAAAAAAAAGAAAAACCCATGAAGAATGATCAGAGGGGGACAATCAGCAGACTTAGCAGGCAGAGCCTTAAGCCCTAAAAAGTGGGAACAGAAAAGTGTTAGGATGAGGCTGGGCGTGGTGGCTCATGCCTCTAATTCCAGCACTTTGGGAGGCCAAGGCAGGTGGATCACGAGGTCAGGAGATCCAGACCATCCTGGCCAACATGGTGAAACCCCATCTCTACTAAAATTCAAAAATTAGCAGGGCATGGTGGCGTGTGCCTATAATCCCAGCTACTCAGGAGGCTGAGGCATGAGAATCACTTGAACCAGGGAGGCAGAGGTTACAGTGAGCCAAGATTGCAACACTGCACTCCAGCCTGGGCAACAGAGTGAGACTCCATCTCAAAAAGAAAAAAAAAGGAGTGAGGAGTGAGGATGAAGGAGAGGGAAAAAAGGAAGGAAACAAAGAAGTGAAAGGAAAATAAATCTAGAGAGTAAAAAACACAGAATGAGAGGAAGAAAAAGAAACAGATAAAAAAAAGACAAGGAGAGAGGGAGAGAGAGAAAAAAAAGAGGCACTAGGCAATAAAGGTCTCAAGAGAGCCCGAGCTTCTCCAGGACATATGTTTTTGTACTAACTGATTTCCTCAGATGATCAGGACCCAGAAGCTCGAGCTGCAGCCCATTTCTGCATTATTTCTAAGGCTCCTGATTGTACAAGTTTGTGGGTATCATAAAATATTTCCATTAGCATTTCATTCCCAGATAGAACACCTCTACCAGACATTCCTGCGTGAACTCTGACTGCAGCCTTGGCTCCCCCTCCACAGGTGCCATGCCACTGGTACCATAGCCCTGCTGCAGTGGAAGCCGGCGTACAGGGAGCAGGGCAGGAAGGAAAGACTTCAGCACCTGCAGTGTCTATCTGCTTCACTCTCAAAATGAAGGGCACATCAACATTGCAACAATTAACAAACAGAAATCTTGTAAAATGTCATACAGTAGGATCCTAACATCTGAGACGCAACAAAAACACAGCTCAGCGCCTATGCAGCTTCCAGCATCCCTCTCTTCCTGTGGACAATTTACCTTTTTTAAAACCTGATTATAACTCTTCCTATTGAATAGAAAATAGGAGAGGCCAGGCACAATGGCTCACACCTGTAATCCCAGCACTTTGGGAGGCCAAGGCGGGCAGATCACTTGAGCCCAGGCGTTCAAGACCAGCCTGGGTAACACAGCAAATCCCTGTCGCTACAAAAAATACAAAAATCAGCCAGACACAGTGGCATGCACCTGTAGTCCCAGCTACTTGGGAGGCTGAAACAGAGGATCCCTTGAGCCTGGGAGGTTGAGGCTATGGTGAGCCACGATCATGCCATTGCATTTCAGCCAGGGCAACAGAGTGAGACTCTGTCAAAAAGAAAGAAAAGAAGAAAGGAGAGGAGAGGAGAGGAGGAAGGAAGGAAGGAAGGAAGGAAGGAAGGAAGGAAGGAAGGAAGGAAGGGAGGGAGGGAGGGAGGGAGGGAGGGAGGGAGGAAGAGAGGGAGGAAGAGAGGGAGAGGGAGGGAGGGAGAGGGAGGGAGGGAGGAAGGGAAAGAGCGAGAGAGGGAGGGGGAGAAAGAAAGGGAGAGGGAGAGGAAGAGGGAGGGAGGGAGGGAGGGAAGAAAATGGGAGAAATAATACTTGAGCTCTCTAACTCTCAAATCAGTATTTGTGCCACTTGAGCACAGGATTCTCCCCTCTATAAATATATTGGCTTAGATGTACTGAATTTGAGAGTAGAGTCACTTGCTTAAAGATGTAGAATAAAATTACGATGTAATAATGTCATGGGAGTATAAATATACACACAGGTAACTACCCAAATATTTGTGAAGCATTTTAACAGCTTGCAGAACAACTAATAAGACTGTATCAGTAACATTATTCAAACAAGGAAACAAGTTTAAAGAAATCATAGGTCGCATCGCTGGTGGTAGGGACAGCATGCAAACAGTGCCCTCCACATTCCAACTGGGATGCTTTTTTCCATTAGAGTTAATTTTTTAAATTATCTGTACTGTTTTACTTTAGCAGCATCCCAGCCCTACTCAACTATAAAAAGGGCCTCTGTTACAACCTATGAATACTCAGTGATATGCTTTGGCTCTGTGTTCCCATCCAAATCTCATCTTGTAGCTCCCGTAATTCCCATGTGTTGTGGGAGGGACCCAGTGGGAGGTGACTGAATCATGGGGGCAAGTCTTTCCCATGCTGTTCTCGTGATAGTGAGTAAGCCTCACAAGATCTGATGGTTTTAAAACAGGAGTTTCCCTGCAAAAGCTCTCTTTTTGCTTGTTGCCATCCATGAAAGACATGACTTGCTTGTTCCTCCTTGACCCCTGCCATGACTATGAGGCTTTCCCAGCCACGTGGAAATGTAAGTCCATTAAACCTCTTTCTGTTGTAAATTGCCCAGTCTCCAGTATGTGTTTATCAGTAGCGTGAAAATGGACTACTATACCCACAGACTCCAGGGGTGTGACCACATCAGAAGCTACTGGCCCCTCTTACAACTCATGTCATTGCATCATACCATGTTTCCATTTCCACCACATGACTGTCTTGCCAAGGCAATTACAACGTTTTACAGGATTGAGGGGGAAAAAAGGCTTTCTAGAAGAAAACACAGTAACCATTTTTAAATGAGTTTATCAAATTTTAACAAGCTATGAAGGACTTAGATTTTGCATGTTCAATGGATTGGTTGTCATAGAAATTCCGTTATCTGGAAAATAATTTTATAAACTGAAGAGTATCCTGACCCAAAGTTTAGTCAATGGTAGAAACACAGGAAGAGATAGGAAGTTTCTAGGATGAGACTGCCAGGCCTCAGGCTCAGTGTCACTACAGGCATTTGGAGACTTGATGGCTGATACTCATCCTGCCCTATGCACAGAAGAACTGATCCTGGGTGCTCTATCCTCAACCTGCCTATGGGACTTCCCAGGCCCAGTGAGCACTCCATTCCATTCCATTCCATCCCACCCCCCCTCCACCCATTGTGGCTGGTCCCTTTCCTCTGTCCTCATCAATCTTTCTATTGGGAGGCATTTCCGGGAATTTGATTTCACAGCAATTTAGTCAGTTCACCAAAAGATCACAGGACCTTTTAGGGACTTCAAGATGGGCAACTGGCCAACCATAGAGCTTTCTTTTTTTGAACTTCATGGCTTTGCTTTTTCTTAGAAGTACTGGTTTCCTCTAAGGTGACTTTCTGAGTATTTCATGGTGTAAAGTCGCAGCTACATGTGATTTCCTTTTGTGCATTTGCCAGATAACCAAAAAATCATGAGGAGAGTGGAGAAAAAGGGTATAGGAAACTAACAAGTGCCCAATCTAAAAGTTTAAGGGCTATTGCATGTGTTTGTTTGGGTTAAGTATATTGACATCTAACATTACTCTAAGTATTCATATATTTAAGAACTAAATTGACTGAACATATATTTGTATCAGAAACAATGCTATGCCCTTCACAATACTTCTATGAGGCTATCATCATCTCCTTTGTATACATATGAGAATACCGAGGTTCAAAGAAGTAGAGAAACTTACTCCAGGTTATACTGCAAAAAGAGGCAAAACCAAGGCTTGAACTCAGGAATATTAAACCCGTCTCCTAAACCAGGTAAATGCCTACGGAGGGCTCCTATATCTTCTCTCCCAAGTTCATGCATATTCAGCCTACATCAGGTTAAATGCATGTTCAATCCACTGGTCTGGGAGAATAGATCAGTTGCCTTTCACAGAGATTATGTTCCTTATTTCTCTGTCTTCTCACCGCAGCTCGCTATAGAAAGCTTTTTACACAATGAGCCCTCAAAAAGTACTGTTGACCAAGGAAACCAATCTAAAAGTGTTTTTTCTAAATCACCATGCAAAATTTGTAGCTAACATATTCCCAGTGGCTTCTCGTTGTACATTGTTCATTCAAATGTATTTTCCTTTTCTTTTTTTTTTTCTTTTATTTTTTTTTTTTTTTGAGACAAAGTCTTGCTCTGTCACCCAGGTTAGAGGGCAGTGGCATGATCTTGGCTCTCTGCATGCACCTCCTGGGTTTAAGCAATTCTCCTGCCTCAACCTCCTGAATAATTGGGATTACAGGTACACACCACCACACCCAGCTATTCGTGTGTGTGTGTGTGTGTGTGTGTGTGTGTGTTTTTAATAGAGACTGGGTTTCACCATGTTGGCCAGGCTAGTCTCGAATTCCTGACCTCAAGTTATCCACTCACCTCAGCCTCACAAAGTGCTAGGATTACAGGTCTGAGCCACCATGCCCAGCTTAC